TAAATAGAATTTTGAATCCTTAAAGTATTAGATCAAACATTAGTGTCACGTGGTTTCAAGAAAGCAAATAAACAAAATAAATAATTCTACATAAATTACTAAAAAAAACCAATGAGATGTAAAATCACCAAATTATTAAATTTTTTTATCATAGGGACTTATCAAAATAATTAACAAATGTGGACACACAATCTATGAGGGTAAATAACCAAACGCGACTCATGTCACGAAGACAAACGTGGACATACAGTCCACAAGGGTAAGTAACCAAACACAACCGAAGCCACGAAACAAACATAGATAAATAGTCCACGAGGGTAATGCTAACCAAACGTGGCTTGAAGCCACGAAACAAACGTGAGCATGATGCTCATGAATAACCATCCCTCCGTTTCACGTGCATTGACCATCACATGGGGCTAGTACCTCTTATAAACACCCTACTAGTTAGGTGTACAATAGTGCGCCAAGGACTAATAAACCTACCGTTAGCAACCAGTGTTCTGTATAAAGTCTCTTTTTAAATCCATTTTCAGACATACGAGAAAATTATCACTTGTAAAATATAATTTTCCTTCTCAGTATCAAACTCGTATGGAACATGTAAATCATCAATCTTTCTAAATATGAAAATTCATAATTAATATTTCATAAATTGTTCACTAATTTTCATAGTTGGCTTTATTAGATAACAAACTACTAAAATTTATAAAAACATTTCCATCAATCCAAAAAGTATTAAGTCATGACTCCAAGAAGTAAAATAATTTAATAAAACAAAGGAGCTAATGCAAGAGAAATAAATAATATTTATACATTGTTAAATCAATATTTTTATAAAGAAAATTCTCTAATTTATAAATTAATTGGAAGGTTATCTATTTACTTGATAAACTCCTAAGATAATAGTTTATTCCTTATAGACCTCTCAATTATCTTTAAACTCTTCTATTACCTAGACAAGAATAACAAACAAATTTCTTTAGCAATAACTATACCACACAAATCTACATCTCAACAACCCGCTTTCTTACTTAAGCCTTGACAAAATTTGATTTGTTTCGAAATCATCAATCATATTTAAAACATATATTCTTATTTTTCCATCAAACCTACCATAAGCTCAAATATTTCTAAGCTTTAGCATATAAAATGATTAACTGTCATATTATCATGTAATCTATGGTACTTTCATTGTACTTGGTTACCTCAATAGATTAGAAGTCATAGCTTGCTCAAATATTTCCAAGCACCAACACATAAATTTACCATGATTTTCAATGAATCAATTTCTCATTAAAAATCAATTTAAGCTTAAAGAAAACCAAACCTCAATTTGGTCAATTCTTTCAATACTTTACATACCCACTTCTTTATCTAATTACACAGCTCTCAAGGATTTATCTAATAACACACTAGCTCCATAATTGACAAGATCTCTTACAATATTCAAATTAAACTCACAAATAATTAGCATATAAACCATATATGTTTCATGAGAGTTATTGGAATTTCATAAAGTACATGAACAAACAAGATCTTTCCCTAACAAAAATTTCACAGAACATTTTATATATGGGCATTAGTATTATAATTTTTATATTAAGCACTTCTCTTCAAATCTCACCCTAACAACTCTACCATATCTATATTTGAATTTACCTAGCTTCTCAAGTTTCATTCTTTCAACGGAATCAATATAAATTTAAATGAAATTCAAAGCCATATTATTTCATCTTACTCAACAACTAAAAAGTTTCAGCTTGCTCAAACCCTTCCTTTCTTGTTCAGTCACACACAGCAGTAGGGCGAGGGAAGAATCACAATTGCCCCCATTTCAGCACATACAACAAAATAACGAAGAGATCATGGTCCTCACCTTTAAGCAACACAATGAAACAGAGGGAAAATTTTAGAGCCCTTCCTCAAGCTAGATCAGCCAACAATATATATATATATATATGAGAAAAATAGGGATGACATGAAGCACTGAAGGAAGAAGTTAGGTGTCTGATGAGGCTCTTACAGTAGTGAACATCAGTAACGAAATGCAAGGGAGTAGAAGATTTTAACTCACCCCTGCAGCTGTTCGAAGGGAAGAGAAGGAACGATGGAGCAGGGGAAATAGAAGAAGCTGCGAGCTTAAGAAGGAGGAGAGAACAAGAGTGTTCACGTACTCCCATAGCCATACCAGAACGATAATGCACCTGAATCTTTCTGTTACTCAGAAAGAACAGAGAACCCCACTGGTCGAATAGGGAAGGAGAAAGCTTAATAGTGACGGTCGAAGCCTTTGTAAGCACTAACATCTGCTATGGCAAATGCAGAGAAGGAAGACGAAGAAGACGGAGGAGTGAATTGACAGGGGAAGGATTGAGCTAAACAACATCAAGGAAGCAAAAAATGAGTAACAACAGCGAACTCACAGCAGAGTTGAAGCCCTCGCTGGCGACATCGTGATGATGTAGAAGGGTGAAGGAAATGACAGAGGACAGTGAGACAATCAGAGCTCTCTCACTCTCGGTGATTCTAGAGAAATCGAAGAAGTAATGTGGAAAAAATGATACGTGTGATATCTATATTTCCTGATACAACTAGAGGAATGAAATGGTAATTTTAACCATAAGTTATAGAAATAAAATTCCTCCTTTACTTCCAAGAGGGTTCGAACACACAATCAGTTGAAGGAGAGCCAAAAACTACCACAAGACCCACTAACACACCTTATCAAATGTTTTCCAACAAATAATAAAAATATAATAAATTTTACCTTAATGCCATTTTACCCACTAACACACCTTGTCAAATGTTTTCCAACAAATAATAAAAATATAATAAATTTTACCTTAATGCCATTTTATCTTCATAATTATTTTCCAGGTTATTACAAGATGCTATCATTCAAGTAGTATGATAACAAGAAACCATCAAACTTATACAATCAAATCAACAGGTGCTTAAGAGTTTAAAGTTCTACTTGATGAAGCATATCAGAAGAAAGGAATTCTAGCGTAGGTGGATTGAGAGGATATATACCCTTTCAAGTTTTAAGTTTCATTTGCAAGTAAAGGAATATAGAATTTAGAAAAACATATCTTTGTAGAAGTATGGATGAATAATTGAACCTATCCTTCTCATGATTCTCACATGATTCAAATTACAAAGCATATTTAAATGCTATTTGTAGGATAAACCATATTCAAGATAAAACAATTTCAACATAAACATGTTTAAATTACAAAAGCGAACATACTTACAAGATAAATCATATTCCCCTAACCAAAGGTACGGCACCCCATAATAATCCAAAGATAAGGCCCATGGCATGTTGAATCTAGTGTAAAACATCTCCCAATTGATCCGATTTTAGGGTGCAAAGACATAAATGGTTGTTAATTTCAATTAAATTTCATAAAATAAAATAGCAATACTAATAACTAAAAGGAGACATGTAATTGCTAATTTGCATATAATATATGTGTGTGTGCTTGTGTATTTTTCCAAACCCCTTCGAAATCTAAATTACCCAAAAGCATCAAAACAAACAAACAGAAAATTGATAAAAGTAAACTCAAAAGAGAGAATAAAGGAGGAGAAAGTGATGAGTTAACTGAAATATTTAGTAAAACAAAGCATTTGGAATCAAATAATAGAGGTAGAGCTTGATTAGGAATGGACCAACATCAAATGAAGATGCAATATGAACAAGATTCAACAACTCAATCAGCATGAACAACACCAAAAACACAATAGCGACAATAGTGGTGTGATTCTCAAACAGCATGAATAGAGCTGTTAATAAGGCTCAAACAGCCCTTAAGTTTTTTTGAGCAATTTTTCCTTATTTTTACATTTAAAGCTTTTGAAGGGCTTTTAGAACCAGTTATTCATACACCTACTGTCAAAAGCTATTTTTAATTAGTTATTTTTTAAAATAACTATTTTATTTTTTAAAGATAATTATTTTAAAAAAATTAATTATTTTTTATTTTTCAAGCTCCTAGAGGGCTTGTGGAACCAGTTACTCATACACCCGGTGCCAAAACTCAATGTAATGGTAAATTATTTACAAAATTGACATTGATACGTACTTTTGGCACTTGTTCCAATTTAAACATTGCCGAAAGCAGTGCCAAAAGCACTTTTTGTATTAGTGTATTTAGGCGGCTCTGAGGATTTACAATTTACTTTCTTGTATTTACTATTTACAATTCCATTTATCTCGATTTCCAGCCTTGCATCTCAATTTTGTATTTATGAACAAATGATCTAAATATTGATTTCTCGTAAAAATTATTTGTTTAGTTTCAAGAATTTGCAGCCAACTCAATCTAATTTCCAACCCGACATACTTGAATTTGCAACTAGGTTTCCCATTTCATTTTACAAGATTTCAACATTAAGTACATATCTCATTTGTTGTCCATTAGCAAAATCTCTTTGTTGCAAAGGATAATTAATTTCCTATTTAGCAAACTCCAATATAAATCAAATTGCTCTAACAAAAATAGTGTGTGGATTCCTCTTTTTTATGATGCTAGCTAGGCTAGCTGCACAATCATAACGCATTAAATTCCACAAAAGAGAAATTTTATTTTATTTTATTTATAGGAGTCCTTTAAGGGCTGTTTGAGCCTTATTAACAGCTCTATTCTTAATCTGAAACATAATGGAGCTCGTTTCTTTGCCCCAGTCTGACCATCATCAACTAACTAAAAGAATTGCATTACTTTTCCCTTTTCCTAATTATAATTCTAATAATTGGATTTGATTGATTACATCTTAATTTGTTGATTTTGTTCTGGCTTAATTGATTCATGGGATTGCTTGAATTTGCTGGACTAATTTCAATTAAGTTCATTTGTTTTTTCAATGATATTTCAGATTTATTTGTTCTCAAACGAAAATAACTAGCTGAAGACGTCCCTGAATGATACTCTTCCTTTAACAATACAAAAGTTTTTATTTTTATTTTTTTAAAATAAAAAATTAGATTCATATTAACTGCAAATGCAATGGCTGCAAGAATTTGTATGACATTAACAGGGGGGGGGGGGACGAACTCTTCAGTTGACTCTTGGTCTGTACTTTAAATATACATTATTGAGGAAGAAAATAGAAGAAACAAAAACCAACCAATAACAATCTAAAGGTTTGAATTTCACCAGCTTCCATCTGTATGTGCAGAAGAAGGGAGTAAACCGATTTGAATAAATAAGATGCTTACTAGTGCTCTTCAGTTTTGGCTCTTCCCATGTGACATATGCTTTGTGTGTGTGTGTGTGTGTGTGTGTGTGTGCATTCTTTGTTAGCATCCAGAGTATTTATAGCTTTACTTCATGTGTCACAGTTTTCTCTATGTCTGAGTAAGACAATCTCCTAGCTTTTGGATTAGCCATTGTTGGCTTAACTGAAACAGCACTTTTAGATGTTGAAGAGTTCCTGTACTTTTGAACCTTGCTAGCTTGCTTAGTTTGAGACTTTCTAGGAGGTGTATTGCCAACACGGCTTTCCCATGGGCGAGCGGCGATCCAGCGGTCCTTCCAGCTCCAACCCCAGTTAGCTTTGTTAAGTTCATAATTTCCCAGCCCTTGGTTCTGTGTAGAATTGGATCTCCACTGTACATGAATGATTCATAAGATAAGCATGTGATTTATTTGAACTGAAGATGAATCTGGGGAAGCAAATTGATTATGAGACTCATTTTGTTAGATTAATTAACCTACTTGATGAGAAAAGGCATATGCAAGGGCTCTTTCCCGTTTTACTGCTGCTTCTTCTCTGTAATGTATCCTTGCAAGGATTTCCTCCATGGTTTCAGGGCCACCACACCATTCAACCTGTAAGTAAATATAGTTTAACTACTACGTTAACAGAGTAACTGAGTGGAAGGCAATGTCAGCATTATTAATTAGTTAATGATAAATCTTCTCAATGTCATCCAGATAATGGAAGTAAAAACTAATCTGTACAAAGTTAGCCAGTGAAATCTGTCGTTCAACATATCAATGTTGATGTGGAAAGAAAGAATTCCAGCATCCCATCGTTGAGAATATTTAGCTTAACAAGGCATTGGACTGCAAAGCAAGAAAAGTTACCTCTAGATCATGGAGCTCTGCCTCAAGTTTTTGTTGTGACTCTAGCTTCTTCCGTCTGATCCTGTCTTCTGTCACCATACAGATTCGGCGAGCTCTAATCTCACTCTGTACCTTGCTCCATTCATGAAGATAAGTTAAAGTTGTCTCAGCTTGCTTTTTAACAGAGTGACGTTGAGTCATGATCTTTAATTTTGCAAACCCTTTCAAACGACGCAGAGATTTTCTTGCCTAAAAGATGGAAAACAGCATTTCAGAACAAAAATCAACAGCTGAGAAATAACAGAACAGTAGGGACCAAATTGATGCCCAACCCTATAGAGACATCATTGAGGAGGCCCATTCTGTTATAGGTAGTAATTGGAAAGTTTCAATTAACTTTATGTATAGGGAAGCTAACTGGGTTGCCTACTCTCCATCTAGGTTATCTCATAGACTTCTGTACTTTTGATTATCCAACACCTTGGGTAAAAGGTGGTTGATGATGACAGAAGGCGAATTCACTAAGTAACCTCTTGCAATTTCTTTTTCATGAATATATGGATCAGTTTCTACTAAAAAAAAAAAAAACGAGAGATAATAGAGGCCAATACTTGTGAATTAGCAGCACATATTACAAGAAATTAGAGCCGCAAGTTACGGCTGAGCCCTTTTTAGCCCGAAAGAATCTAGAGCTAGGCCACTACCCTAGAGTGTAAAATAATAATTCAGGCTTAAAAGGTAAAAAAACCGTCCCTTTTAAGCCCTTTTATATTTTTTTAAAATTTTAATATTAAAAAAAATTAAATACTACATTAATTTTAAAACCCTAACCTCATTTCATAGGGGTAAAGAAGAAATATATGAAAAGCTTAATATATTTGCCACTGTTGAGGCTCTACAAAGAGAAAGATGAAATTATATTGATGTTGATGACAATGAAAATCATCAAGAATTCGTTAATGATGATAGCAAGGTTTGATTGTTATCGGTTTTGATTTTGTGATGATGTTTTTTATTAGATTTCAATTTGTTTTTATAGATTTAATGTTATGTGTAACAACTTTTTTGAGATTTTAAATGTTTTTTTAGATTTTTAAATTAAAGAATAAATAAATATATATATATATATACACGACCAAGGCCCTGAGGACTAGCCCAAGTTAACAAAAATGGAGCACTGAAATATAATCAGGCTTTACAAAGCCAACCTACTTTGGCCTTGGGTCTTCAAGGGCCAGTCCTAATTGATGCCTCTATAATAAAGCATGCATGCATCTATGATGTGTGAATATAAGGTGCTTGTGAATATTTATACACCATATATATATATATAATTTTCCATCTACATTTTGAAACAGATGTTACCATTCCAATTATCTAGGTGCAAGTGAATTCCTAAAATGATGGCCAAAAAGTTCCTTTCACTTAACTGCATTATTTTAACGATACTCCAACCCATCTTCACCGAGTAGATCTTTTCAAATTTATTGCTGAGGTAGGTCCAAAAGATGCCACTATGTGGGGTTGCTAATTATAATGACATTTCATGGCGCACCTAAAATGCATTATTTTCGCCCACCGTCAGTACTCTTGTGTGATTTCAATACTTAGATAAACATCAAAGATGAGTAAAAGGATTTAGATATTTTGCTTTGTTGATGTTAAAAGCCACAGAAATGGTCCTGAATTCAAACCAGGCCACCTAGAGTAACCTTCAGGAGTAAGTATCTTCATTCTTGACTATGGTTTTGGGAGGACCTTCCAACTCTTAGTAGTGAGAAATTAAGATTCATGCTTGCTTGTCAGTGTGCTGATGAAAAAAAATAAAACAAACAAAACAAGAGGATATGTTTTTGATATATTTCAGTGGATATGTAAATTTCCAATTTCTTTTGTAATTTTTTTTTTTTTTAAAAAGCCCATATCACTTATGATCCTAGTAGATGAGAAGGATCATTACATATTTTCTTTCAAAAGGAAGTGATATCAGCCTGCGTTGTATAACGCAGAAATATCAGATAGATTTATTTGATGTTGTTGTAATATCTTAGACCTAACCGTAAACCTACCTAGCTGGTACAACACAATGACATATCAAAAGGAATAATAATGAAAAATGAAAAAGGAAGGCATGATTACTAAGGATTGTGCTAATAATATAAATATATAATAATAAACTCAGGTTGGAGGTTCTACTATGTTTAAGAACTCCATTCTGCAAAAAATTACAACTTGACATACCTTATAAGCCCGATATGCTGTTTGGATTTTTGTTGCAGCAATTGTTTCAACTGAGACCCCAGGTAACACCAGACTTTCACTTTTAATACCATTCTCTACACCACTAAAACCTTTTCCTCTGTGATTGTTTGACTCCACTGCACTGAGTTTCCCTGAAGGTAGATCTCCCTGTCTCAAAGTGCAAGCAGATATGGACAGAAATTTTCTTCTTACAGCAGCCTCAGACACAAAATAAGTTTTACTTTTGCATCCTAAATATTGATAAAGTGACTCACATGCTTGTTTTAAACAACAACGTTCATTGTCCCAAATATGAAATGCATCATGCCCAAACTCAAATTAACTTGTTTTTTTCAATACATAACTCTGCTTTTTAATCACCAGATTTAGACAAAATATTGCTCATTTCAGAAAATATGGCAATGGCGAAGTTCAAGATTGACAGGAAGCACGAGATACCTTTGCTTTCTTTGAACTACCTTTTGACTTTCCTAAGCAAATCATTGTCTTAAAACAATTGCATGAACCCATTCTTGATGTGAGGAGTCCTGCGGCATTTAAAATGAACATAATACTCAGTAATCACTTACAAGTTGAAGTTTTTTAAAATCTGGTCAGCTGGCCCAAAAATGCCACAACTGACCTGTTCAAACAAAAGAAAACACAATTGAAGTTCCTGTATTCTTTATTAATCTACTCATTTATTTTATTTCATTAAATTAAAGCCTTATACCTGCTTCTTCAAACATATCCCTGAGGATTACATTAGTGTAAGAGATAGAATATTCTTGTGTAATTTAAGTTATTTATGATCAAGTCCAAATGTTTGTGTCTGCTGCCCTGTGTACATGATGCATTGTGTTATAACTGTACACATAAACAAGCAAATTCATATACATAATATTAATACATATTTTACTTCATGCATAAATACAGAAATGCAAACATATCCACATAACCACATAGATATATTATATCTCAGAGTCTTCCATCATAACAATGGCATGTTATCTTGATTCTTGTACCTAGAAAAGAAACCTAACTCACAATTAGATTTTATTATCAATTACATTAAGATCAAAGAAGCATACTCCAGTCAACCTATAGCATGGTATGTAAAATGTTAACAATTCTAAGCTATCTAGGTTGATAGAGCTGATACCAAAATGCATCCAATTTATTCTGTATGTGCTACAAGAAGAACCCCTATTGAAGAAGAAGACAGAATTAGAAGATGAAAGATGATTGAGAGATAGGATGAATCACAGAGGAATGCCATTCCATTCACTCTATTCACTTTTGTCCACATGTATAATTAACTACAATCATTATATACATGGTTCATAACAATTCCACCCGAGTAACTAATCTCTAACCACTCTTGACATTCTTCACTTCACACTTCACCTAAGTCTCTGACTCCCATCTCAGAAACCAAGTACTGATTTTGTCTTCTACTTAAGGATTTTTGTCAATATGTCTGCTAAGTGCTCTTTGGTTCTATCAAATGGATTCTTGATCACATCTTTGTGAACTTCCTTTTCAAAATGACAATCCATCCCTATATGTTTTGTCTTTTCATGGAACACAAGAACAAGACCTGTAGCTGCTCTAATACCACGGAGTGAAGTAGAAGATGAAACAAGAAAATGGAATATGATCAAGAGAGAAGAAGAAGAAGAACAGACGAATATCACTGCCTTCACTCTGTTGACTCTAATTCTGTACACGTGTAATTAGCTACTCTCCTTGTACAGTCGTACATGGTTCATAACAGTTACACTTGAATAACTAATCTCCAATTACTCTTAAGACTTAACGTCCTTCACTTCACAAGAACAACAGTAATTGTCCAGCCAGCTGAAATATATAAAAGATGTCTAAACAACTACATCGCATCTCCTTCCACATCAAATCCACATGGTAATCCATCTACAGAACCACAAAACAATCGAGCAATAGTTCAACTACTGAAAACAGAGGAAGCCTCAAATTCTTATCAGTCATCAAGATGCTAATATTCCCAAAATAACAAAGAATCTAAAGACGCGAGAGAACACAAAACTGCATCTGGGTTTGACATACCAGAGAAGAAGCCAGAAAGTACCCAAGGCAAGAGGAACCTGCCCCCAAAGTTGAGCAACCTAGATTTCGTACGAAAAAGGAGTAGGACAATGATATCAGCAGAAGTAAATTGGAAGGAAAGCCCAGACGAGAGAGAGAGAGAATAAAAAACGAAACGTAAAAGTTCGGGGAACAATGTGGACTGCCATGGCCCAATACCAGCTTTAATTTTCCCATTTGAGATGTGTAGTAGGGAAAGAAAGAGACTTTGCGCATCTGAAGAAGACAAGACGACTGCTGATTGGAGTGGTCGAGCGTATTGAAACGCCGTAGATGGTTGAATTTGAAGAATTCAACAAAGAGAGAGTACAGCGACACCAGAACGAACCGTGGCAACATCGTGTTGGCAATGGGTTGCTTTCCTTCGTTTCTGGGTGTTGTTTTAGATTGACGAATATGTACCGAGGAAATGAAAATTTTCCTCCTGAATACTTACATGTTTTAGGGGACAAGATCAAAACTGTAGAGTCTTCGTTAAGTAATTGTAGTGAACAGATTGGGGATTGTCGATGCGATTGGGTTCCGCTACAGGCAGGAATACTCAAAGTTTGTGTAGCCGCCCGCCACGTGGGCCATAGGCGCGTGTCTGACTCGGGTAGTGATTATTGGTTCAGGAATAGCCTAAGTTTTTGACATCGCCACGTGGGCGATGGTGCGTGTCCGATTTGGGGAGTACTGATTGGTCCAGAAATTATAAAATATATGGTCCCCGCGGGGCTCGAACCCGCGACCTTCGGCTCATAAGACCAACGCTCTAACCAACTGAGCTACGGGACCTTGTTATCTGTAAAATTTCTATAAAATAAATAATCATAATGTCTGCAGTTAGAGCAACTCTACTTTATATTTATATTTTTTATTTTTAAAAACTGTTTTGTAATATAATTTTAAAATTATTTTTCAAAAAAATAAAATAAAATTTTTTAATAGTTTTAGAATTAAAAAATAAATTGATAATGATGATTATAAACAACTAATAATAGTAATTTACGATAAAAATTTATCAAAATAACTGTAATTTGCAATGATCAAATATATTGTATTTTAAAAATAAGAAAAATAAAATAAAAATAACTTAAAAGTATCTATTTTTTATTTTTAAAAATAAAAAATATTTTTAAAAACAGAAAAAAATAATCCCTAAGATATTCCATTAAAATTTAATAACCTCTTTATCAATATGGTATTTAATATGTCATGATGATTCAAAAAAAATATTTTGAATATAATTGCATAATTATTTTTCACTTAGTACTGTCCCAAATGAGATGGATTTACTTTTTTTTTTATTAATTTTGATTCATATTGATGATAGATGTTGCTATTTAAAAACTCAATCAAACCCCACTTGTATATATATAGAGATTTGGTAGCATATTTAATAGTTGCTGCAATTCATCACAAATTAACATGCATTCCACAGTCATATCGTCCTGTATTACACACACACACACACATGTACGTATGTATATGTATATGTAAAATATTCATTTATCTATTTTGCATGCAATTCTCTTTTTTTCTCCATAATTATTAAGCTATAATATATATATATATATATATATTCAATTAACATATTGCCGATTATTCCAAATTCAATCTATATATATTATAGCTAAAAATGTAAGTTACATACATATATACACACACACATATTAGCTGGTGGAAATGTCACGTTTAATGTTAAAAATTCTTAAAATTTGTTATCTTCATTTATACCCTTAACCTTGAGTGCTATTGAATTAAAGAAATCCATGTTTACACAAGTAAATCATGAAATCCAATAAAGACACAGCTAGGTGGCCCAAAAAATAAATAAATAAAGACTTCTCGGTTTATGTATTTTTCTTTAACAGAATAATATGCCTTTTTTTTGTGAAAATAGTAATTTGCCTTTTAGTAATAAACACATGATGTCAAAAAGTAAAATAACCTTTACGGTGCTCAAAGACTTAATTAAGTTAATATAATTTGTTGAAAAGACCCATATCCCATATTCCTCCTAGAATATATATGATTTGACTGTGCAAAAAATAATGTTAATCACGATTACGATATGCATATAATTAGTAAGACCAAGAATAAGCATCCATCTAAAGAATTATATACCTTAACAATGACACTAAGGACTTGTTTGGTTTCAATTACGTACCCTCTACTAATATAATGCCAGTGCAATATAATGTAATGTAATATTATGATGAATTTGTATGGTATGCTATTAGCCATGGGCTAGTTTTTATAGCTAATACTTCCTTCGTTCTAAATTATATTATACTTTTAAAAAAGTTTTTTTGTTTCAAAATATAATTAAGATAATATGGATAAATTCATATTTAATTAAATGCACTAATTCTAATATTACTTTTTTTTCTCTATAATTAATTTCATTCCTTTTCTTTTCAATATATTAAATGATAGATATTTTTTAAAGTTTATATTTTTATTTTAAAAGATGAGATTGTTGAGTGTATTTAATGAAATTTATTGATATGTAAAATTTTGTTTGAAAGTGTCTCATAATTTGGGATGGAGGGACCAAGTAGGTAGAAAAACGAAAAGACCAAAATATCCCATCCAAACAAAATTTCCCCTCCTAAATCCTCTCTTCTTTTACTCAATGAATTCAGCAGCGGCTCTTGTTTAATTATTAAATGGGGATAAATGGTTTGATTAATATAATTATCACGTTCTCTTTAATATCTGTTGGAAACTTTACAATATTTTCAAAAATTACTAATTCATTGATTAAATCATCAAGTTATCGAAAAACGTGATAATTTGCCAAAAAATTCTGCATAATTTTTTTTGCCACTAAGCAACTCTATGTCGTTGAAGACATATTAAATTATACTCTCTTTATCTTAAATTATAAGACACTTTTAAATTCTGTCACAAAATATAAGATACTTGGAAAGATTAAGATTTCATTAAATATACTAATTTCAATATCACCCTTTCTATCTCTATAATTAATTTGTATCCCTTCTCTTTTCAATGTACTAAATTATGAGTATTTTTAAAAGTTATATTTTTATTTTGAAAAAATAAGTTGTTAAGTGTATTTAATAAGGTTTATTGATATGTGAGATTTTATCTAAAAGTTCTTATAATTTAGGATGGAGAGAGTAGTTTTTTTGCTCACCCTTCTTGAATTTTGTATATTGAAAGTTATATGATCATCGACTCATTAATCAGTATGCACTAACAGTTTAGCAGTTCAAAATAATAGTTTAAATTTAAATTAGAAAATAACTGTGTACACCATCAATTTTTGATAAAGTAGAAAAATGTTTTTAGCCTTTGAAGAAGAAAGAAGGAGAAGAAAAAGAAGAAGAAATTAAATAAATTTGAAGCCTATAAAACTAAAGAAAAAAGTACAAGTTCAGGCAAAAAAAAAAAAAATGAGAGAAAATGAGAGACAAAAGTAGTAAAAAGAATATTAAAATATAACAGAATCTCACACATAAAAATTAGAAGATAGATGATAAATATATAAGTTTAAAAAATATATAACAAATGACTTAAGTTATTTTGACAAATATATTATCTTGAGTATACTCAACATAGGAAATCTAATATGGAGAGCCATATCTTATGCTACAAAACTTCAACATACAAGACTGATAGAACCCAAGTTCTACCTAATAAAGTGTTTATATATTTGGGGATTAACTTTTCATATATTTTAGTTAAGATTTCTAGGAATTTAACATAAATACTTTCACAATTCTAGAATTGCGACCAAGCCACAGATAGAAGCAACAAGAGGACGAGGGCAGAAAGACGAACATCAACATATTCGGGACCAGAGATAAATATCCACACCGTTGTATGTATAGGTGACTTCATGGCGGGATCACTCGCAGATGAAGCGAGCCAAAAATGAACCAAATGAAGTTTGGTTTACGATAGGCACGCGTTTCCCACACTGAAAATAAGAGAATATACATATATATATCTATAGAATTATGAAGTTCAATAGTGAACCTGTGAGTTACACCAGATTATAGTGAACCTGTGAGTTAACCAGATTATTTTTCTATGCGAGAACGGAGATACCATTTGAACCTGGTTCAGGCTCAAACAAATTCATTTATTGGAAGAGAAGAGAGAAGAGAATTAAGGAGAGAAGTTTTTCGTTTTGGAGATATTCCTGATAGATATCTGATATGGCTTTATGCGTCCCATGTATGACTCCCACCCTATAGTCCACAATTTAGGAAGAGAGAAATATATTCTTAAATGCCCACCTAATTATACTTCAAAACTCAGATTTCCTTTGTATTCTGATCAAGCCTCATTCTCTCATTAGGCTTATGTATATGGGCTAATATGTCAAGGTTAACCCAACATATATATTAAAGGCTTAAAAGATAAAATATGATACATTTGGAGAAAAAAAGATAAAATCACAACTACTCATAACCACTTAATCACATTTACATATCACTCTTCCAAATATTTGGAGCTCGCAGGTGCATGTTCATCGAGGCTGAGAATGATATTATTGAAGATTCTTTATATATGAATTATTGTTTTTTACCCTTTAATTTTTTCTATGAACAGTATTCATGATTCGGGATGTTAGAACAATATTCATGAGTTTTATTATTTGTTCCTACTGAAGAAGATTAGGTATAATGATGTATCATGTACCAAACGAACATAATCCCTTATTATAAGAATCACGGGCTAGCCTTCTAATTACCTTACTTATCGGCGTGAAAGTAAGGCTCGGAGGCATACGTACACTAAGCTCGCAATCCATCTTTAACAGACTTCGCAATTGCCCATAACTTCCATTAATGTTGTATGGTAAGGAGCATTATAGTCTTTTCAATATTATTTTATTTGATAAAAATAAAATTAAGAATAATTGTTTTGCATAGTCCCTAATAAACAAAATTACATATATAAGTCAGTACATTACACCACATAAAATTGCACTGTATTACATTTCTTTATCATATTGATGACCAAGCGGACCTAACATTGTGTTGGCGTAAAATGGGTGAGTTTTCACCTCACGCACACTAGGCATGTTGTGGATTCCCAAATTTTTTATCTTAATTTCTTTGGATCATCGAGACTAAAACCACTCTGGGGGCCCAAGTCATTCAAGAAATCAAAATACATTGATGAAGAAATGGGATGACTAAATGTCCTAAAAAGCTGTGTCTAATCCTCAAATGATCTAAAGTAACTAAATCACAAAGTTCTCAAACAGTACTACAAAATAGACTTTTCACGTTATATTTTTAAAGTTTTTCACTTCATAATTGGAAGGGACATTATATTGAAAGACTTAAAATAATAGCTTATTCCATTACAATGCTTATGATGTGAAAAACTATAAATTAAATCACATCCCCTTTATAATG